CTGATAATCATCAGGGGTTAGCTGAGGTAGGACAAAGGTTTAGAACCATATCCTATAATGGCTACATTTTCCAGACCAATTTTAAGCCTAGTCCCAGACGGAAAGCTTTTTTTTTTTTTTTTAGTTTTTTTGTTTTGTTTTTGTTGTTGATGGAAATATTTTTAGTGACTGTGCTTAATCTGAGCCATGGAAATGGGCTAAATGTCATAATGAAAAATTACTAAAAAGAAAAAACCCCCAAAACTGATGAACAATAAAAGGAAGCCATTCTAAGAGTATGAATTTGAACAAGAACAGTCAGACATTTTTTAGAAGAATATTTCAGCTTTCAGTCACGCGGACTGTCCCATGCAGGTAAAATACAGATAGCCTGTCAAAAACTGTGAGAGAAAGTGTGTCTTCAGGCAGACAGGAAACAGGGGGCCAAACCAGCCACTGCTATAGACAGTAAAAGATAACATGTATACACATAAGAGGTGGAAATACCTGCAGAAAAACATGAGTCACTGCTGTGCTTAACTTTTAAAAGCTGAGCAAATTCCATTTGCCTTCAGACATGTTTTTGCACATCAACCCACCCTAAGGGATATTTTTCCTCCACTAAGCAACGACGAGCATGTTGTTGCACACGGCCGATTATTAATGCTTAGCATGCAACACATGACAAAAGAATACACAGACAGCCAGAAGGAAGAACTATATCATTATTGTTTTAAATGAGAGGGCTCCGGTATAAAAAAAACTAACTCCTCCTCTCTACAGAGGACAACCTCAGTAGTACCATTATAGTAGCAAACTTCATCTGACTCCATGTGCATTTCTCTGGCTGTATGCCTCAAAGTTCAAAGAATCATTGTAACATGGCCTCTTTTTCTTGTTTGGTATGGAGGCTAACAAAAACAAATGAATGCAAATCTATGCATGCCTCTGATCAGTGCCTGCTGCTCTGTGGAGTCATCAGAGGTGCCAGCAAGAATCCAGCTTTCCTTGCAAAGCCAACAGCCACCAGACGTTTTTGACAAACTTGCTCACAGGTGCAATAATTGCAGTGAAAACCATGAACGGCTGGAAGATGTGACAAAACTCAGTGAAGAATGTGCATAAATGATTAAATAAGACAAGCTTTTTTAAAAACAAAAAAAACAAATAAAGCATTTTCATGTAAAAATGACCATTTTTAGAAGCACATTACTGCTGTCGATATACAGGAGGAACACAGAAAAAAGAAACAGATGTAAAGAACCCAAGAGAAAATAAAGTTACAGTAAACATGACAGAAGATATGTGAGCAAAATCTCACTCTAGTTTCACAAAAAGACTGAGCTCAAGCCGACATCGCAAACTTACCCTGCTGAAAACTGAACACCATAAAAAGGAAGTGTACAAAATGGCGCACTCCGGATATGGGGAACCTACACTGTGTACCTACTGGCGCTCAGTGCTTTTGAGTGAAACTAAGCCACAGTGCAATGCACAGAACCCCTTTAAAGTGGGCTTCATAGACCTAGCAGCTTAAAGAAAACCATCAGCATTAGCAAAAATAAATCAGAAGCCACAGAGTCAATGCTTTAATTGGAGCCTGACTGTTTAGAGACCCACAAAACGTTTAGACATCAGTTTTAGACATTACAGTTCTCAGCTGAAAGGGACAAAACCACAAAACACTGAAGGAAGTGACATCAGCAAGGCGTCCCTCCATCAACTGGTGTTTCAAAAGACAGGAACAGAAACTAGAGATACATACACGTGCACACACACACACACACACACACACACACAGCAAGCTTTTAAATTTGTTAATGTCTCTGACCAGGCAACAGTTTCAACTCAGGTTCAGTCAATATTAACGTAGTGATCCGCATAACAACTGCAGCAACAAGCACCCCTCCCTCATCCCTGTGCTAGACGGGACTGCTGAATAATGTAAAACTATCATCCCAGAGATTATGGTATTAAAAATCCTCTCCCGCATCCCAAATCCGGACATATTGAAGATTTGCCTGGGTAAGCTGCAAGGTAGGCAGCGCCCATCCAGTGCCTGTCAGTATCCAAGGCACTGACCCATTTCTCAAGCAGGTTACAGATTAACCATGCTGCATGCTACAAGCCGGGTCGGGACAGCTGGCTCAAGTACTTCTCCTCAAGACCTGTCAGCCAGAAAGCTCACGAATCATTACTAAAATAAAAAAATTAAAAAACAAAAAAACAAAAAAAACAGCCCAAAAAAACATTATTTAAGGGTTTAAGCTCTGTCACTCAAACACAAATATATGTCACAAGACTTAACAACTGCAAGCTTTAGAGAACTTTACGTGAGAGAAATGTAGGGCGACACAGAAGAAAAGATGCGAGGAAAAGACAGAAATAGAAGAAAAGCGAGAAGACTGAGAGCAGAACATATAAAGCTGGGAGGCAGAGACAGAGGTTCAGAGGGTACTACAGAGAGTGCAGCGGGAGCAAATCCCCGCAAAGGATTACTGTGCATCATTCTGTCTGTAGGCATTGGAGGGCAGGGATCGTTCTCTGTCACGCTTCAAATGAGGAGAGTAGAAAACAACCTGCCATAATGACTTTCAAGTCTTTTCAGTATGTGCTACGTTTTTCAACGCATGTTAAGCCAAAGAGCAGTGTCAGGCCGGTGTAAACGGCTATGCAGGCAGCTCTTTGCAAAAGCAGCAGCTCATGCTGTAGAAGAACTGTTTCAGGATTCAAAGCATAATCTTCAAGGTGAGACACCACACCGAGTCAGACAGTCCCAGAGCTAATGACAGCAAAGGCAGGATGTGAAAATGATACACTTATAACTCTCCAGTGGTATAAGCAGAATCACTAAAGCAGCATAAGAGGAAGCCACTCCACTCATGTTTTAGTCACAGCATGATTTTTCCCCCACTTCAACTAGGATTTCATCACTACTGCTCTGGTACAAGGGAAGTAATAATATATAGATGTAATATTACAGCACACTTAACATGTTACGCATTTGAATAAGGAAATATAAGCATAACTGGGAAAAAATACTTTAAAAAAAAAGTTCATATTGCTAACATTCCTTTCCTGAGACCTGCCTGCAGTTCAAATCTGGATGATATGACAATTTCCTGCTGAATAAAACAAAAGACTAAACTCCAAAAGCAAAAGAATTCTTTTAACAGAAGGAAACTCACCACAGTAAGCCACACTGTGGCCGAAGCGTTCGAGTTGGTTCGGCTGTGATGCAAGCCATGGTTCCCACCAAAGTGTTTCCTGATCTCTGCAGAAGAGTGCCTGAAACAAAATGTTAGAAAACACAGATTTATAAGGTTTTGTGTTCATGAGCCAGAGTATCATATTTGTGTGCTGCTTTAAAGGGAATGTTTGCTTTAAAACAAGCATTAAAAACTCTACAACCTCATCTTTTGTGTATAATTCCAACCACATGCACACATAGTGTATCTTAATGACAGATGCAACAGCACCAATTCCGCAATTGTTCTTAGTCGAATCGGCCAGCCATGGTGTTCCTATTCAACTATTGTTCACTCTCTACAGAAGCCCACCGCTGCTGGCTGTGTAGAGGCTTTGTCATGCTTGCGTTGAATGATATGGTGTCCCGCTGTAAGGGTCAGAGCAAGCAGGAAATCAACATGACACAAGAATGGAGTACTATTCAAATATGTTGGGTAGATGGTGTTTGTGTTTGCCTGTAGCTTTTACCAATAAGAAGGGAGAACAGTGCCCTGATTTTCTGCACACATTCCATCTCCATGATACGGCCACTAATACACTAGTTACTTATTTCTAATTAATCCACCATATCACTGGAGCCCCACCCAAATCTGCGCAACAGCAGCTCAGTAACAAAACCCCAGTCTGTGTATGTATGTGTAAGTATATGTCATTTTGAGTTTTCTCGTGTGCGTCTTCTGTTAAATTTACTCCATTTTCTGTGTATTGTTGCATATGCAAGCGTCAGAAAGAGTTTATTGTAACGCTGACGCACAGGGAAGCGTTAGAGGGCAAAGACTTGAGCAAATGGGTCACATTCCCGACTGCTTCGTCTGTGGTCAGTCTCACGGGTTCAGTAAGTCCCCTTGGCCATTGTTACAACATCGCTGTTACTAATTATCACCGCAAACTAATAACAAATGCTGTAAAGGAATGCCAGTATGTCAAAACCACTGAAGCTACAGAATCATGGAGCATGCACAATCTGATGAGCACTTTCATGGAAATTTCGAAAAAGAATTACAAAACAAGTACAATTTTCAAAGCTTAAAAACAAACTGGCATAATATGAATACTAACAACATGACACACAGTATTGTGCAAGGCTTGAGCCAAGCCCCATTTCTTTATATTTCCTCAGAAAATGTGAAATGGGTGCAGGGATGTACTGAAACACATAAACATGCATGTAAATACAGTACATCAGGCAAAATCAGAGCTTGCACAGTTCTAATAAGCTTAAAAATCAATACATGGCATGAAAACCTTTGTTCAATAATGTTGATGTCCTGGCACTGGGGAGGACGATCCATGACTGATGATGTTCTATTGTGTATTTTTCTATCCATGTATGTTTTTACTATACTGGCAATGCGTTTCATTGTAATCAAAAATGAAGTTGTTGCCAATCGTATACTTTCAAGATGGCATTACATGATGGATCAAAATCTGATGGTACTTTTCTGTGTTCATAATTCCACCCCCAACACCATGGCTGAAAAGCAACTCTAAACCATGACAGAGGCATCTCTCAGGCCCTCTTTGAGATCTTTACTAGATTTTTTCCCCATTACCTAAAGGAATGACTTTCAGATACTGTTCATCTGCTGCAGCTATTGTCCCCTAGGCCTGCCACTTCTTCTTTTGTTCTCCACTTGTCCAGTTTCCTCAAATATTTTAAGGAGGCGATGCACAATATGCCAAGCATCGCAAAAACCAAATTAATTTGTGATTCATGTGGTTCACTGGTTCATCCCCTTTCCCCCTATCACCATCCCTCTGAAAATCATCAGGTAGAAGCACTTGACTAAAAATTACTGCAAAACCAGACAATGTCCAACAAAAAAAAAAAAAAAAGAAAAAGAAAAAGAAAAAACAACACTTGGACAGCCTGGAAAACTATTGCTCAAGATCACTTTAAAAGTTACAAGAAAGTCTGGCTGCTTGGAAATAAGAGGCGAATTAAGACTTTTGAACTGTACTGAGCTAACAACATGACATACTATTATTATGAATGTGTTTACTATACTTGAGCGAGCCTGTTTCAGTCATGCTGTTTATAACACGTTCTCCTCCCCCTCTAAAGCACATAATATGCTGAGTCAATAAAATAACTGAATGCCAGAAAAGGTCATGGCATGGGTGGGAAAACAGTATACAAATTTACACAAAGGCCAAAGTCCAGCACCGCAGCAGCATTTTTATTTAAAGCCATAGCTAGCTGCTCACAGCCATTAAAACAGAGTTTTAAGAAAGTGGTGCTGCACAATAAGTAAAAAGAATTAATTGTGTACATTAAAAAACAAACACATATTGCAGCAATATGCTTGTAAAATAATCACACGAGCCAGATTAGAGGACACACACCCACACGAACAGGTACAGCTGATCAATTGACCAGATTAGCAACAGCAACACCAATGCAATGCAAAAAAAAAAGCTTTGCATTCATGGTTTAAAATATATTTTAACCACTATGCAAGTCAAAATACAGCTGCGGCCTGATTATAGTCTACAAAGTTACACACACACATATCATAAAAACGCTCACACCTCATGTCTGCTCAGTATACGCACACAATCATATGGCGGTATCTAGTGAACAAGTGTAGAGCAGTATGTTTGTCCCTCGCAAGATAACACGGTGGACACTGGTTGTGGAGGACTCTCGCATACACACCTTTACCCTGTACCTCCATATCAATAAACTAATCTCTGTTCGCTCTCCTTAAAGGGAATGTGCCAGGTTACAGTTTTAGTATGTAATATGTCAGAACTGCATACACAGATGAGGTTTAAAAGGGGCTGCAGCATAATAAGCTTTAAAAAAAAAAAATCTATTTGTGGAGACCTAAGTGACACACACACAAAAAGAAATCACCCACCTCAAATGCCTCTTCTTCTGTCATGTTGTCTCTTTGAAATCAGAATAAGCCACTGTTGAGATTTTCATGACAAAACTAATAAAAAAATCCAATAAGGCTGAGGCTTTTTTGTCCAAAAGCAGATTGTCTGGTGGGTGTATTGAGTTTATACCCAAGACGATATAAACTCTGTAATAACCCTTCTCATTACATGAGACTTTATAAAGACATGCCCTTAACCACTCTAACTTGTGCCATTTCTACATATCTTCCATTGGTACTTTCTAGCTCATACAACCTAATAACACATACTGTACATAAAGTATAGCTAATATATGCACATGGGTCCATGTGCTACTACGCATTCACTGATACAGACTATAAAAAGACAAGGCAAGTAAAACAGTATTCAGATCCAAGCAGGCATTTTTTTTTACCACTACACAAACAGCTTGACACAGCAGACAGCATCTGTGTCTCTCTTCAGTGGTGATGGGTCTTGGCGTCCTTTGCTACATAAAACCAAAGCTGCTTTTGTTAGGAAAGATAAAAACAGAGCTTTGGTCATTTAAGCAAAATAACACCAAAAACAGCTTGCATCACTGATCTAGCAAAAACTGGTATCTGATTGTGGTTTTAGTAAGACATCATAAAGACACAATTCCTGGAAAAAGGAATTGCTTCTTGTGGATCAACCCAGAGACAAAAAACTTTATAAAGGGACAAATATTTGATTTTAAGCAATACTTGCCACTACTGGAAGCACTGCAAAGTTCATGAACAGGGTTGAATAAAAGTCAAGACTCTAAGAGCAAAAAAATGTTCACTGTAGGACCTTTCATCAAATCTATCAGATCCTGCTGAGTAAAGAAAAGTACTGAAATAGCTTTGGTTTAAACCAGCTTCTCATACAGAACTGCAAGCCTGAGATCTCTGAGAATACCAACAGTGGTGCTGCCAACTTCCACTGTGCTCTTATGTCTTGCCCTAAAAAAGTAACCAGACACTAGATCATCTTTAGACACTTTGTTACTAGCAGCCTATATCAATATGGTGTGCACTGTACTCTTAAAAAGAATTGAGGAAACCAGACAATTGGAGGACAATTGTGGCAGACATAAAACTGCAACAGATGAACAGTATCTAAAAGTCATGTCTTTAACAGGACTCAGACTATATCTGATGAAGCCGATGCGCCATCAGAAATAGTCTCAGTGGAAAAGTAGCTGACAATCAGTGACAGGTTTTTATAAAGTTTTGAATGCATAATAATGACTTTTGGTTAGAGTCATTGTCAGTATGTACAGAGAAGGTGAGGAAACAAGTAGATTCTAAGTGTCTACAGCCATCTGCAAAACAGTGCAGACTCTGTCATGGTTTGTGCATTTCAGCTAATGGTGTGAGATCTTGTCAAAATTATTGGAATTATGAACTAAGAAAAGCACCATCAGATTTGATCCACCGTGCAATACCAACAGGGAAGCATCTGAGTGGCAACAGCTTAATTATGATACCAATGTAGGTTGCCAAATTAGTGTGGAAGAGCGAAAATGTCTGCATATTGTGTGCTTGTGTTTTATGTTGATGTGATTGTTTTCATGTGGTGTGTACAAATGTCTGACTTCCACTGCAAGCCAATTTCCCCATAGGGAAATCGATCAGAGCCCAAACCTCAACATTACTGAAGCAGCGATGATGACTGAGAATGGAACAACAGGCAGCAAAGATGTTCATACCAAATATTGACTTTCCAAGTTCTTAGAATTGTACAATATGTTTATTTGCAGATGTTTTAATAAACCTCTAGTAAAGTTTAAAGAACTAAAGGCTGATTCAAGACTTTTCCACATTACTGTATATACCTACTTTTAACCTTAGCTAGATCCTTACAATACATTTTCATCACCTACTCACACAAACTCTCAGCCACCACCATCATGTAAGGTGCCTGGCTCCTACTGGGGTGAATTTGTGGATGCCAGGAATCAAAAGCATCCAAAAGACTCCAATGTTTAAGCATTCACCATTTCCTATTTAATCCACTCTTGGAGACATCACGCACCTACAGTGGTGTGAAAAAGTGTTTGCCCCCTTCCTGATTTCCTCTTTTTTGTATGTTTGTCACACTTAAATGTTTCAGATCATCAAACAATACATGGGCCTGTGTGAAAAAAAGTGATTGCACCCTAAACCTAATAGCTGGTTGGGCCACCCTTAACAACAACAACAACTGCAATCAAGCATTTTCAATAACTGGCAATGAGTCTTTTACAGAGCTGTGGAGGAAATTTAGCCCTCTCATCTTTGCAGAATTGTTGTAATTCAGCCACACTGGAAGGTTTTCGAGCATGGACTGCCTTTTTATGGTCATGCCACAGCATCTCAATCAGATTCAGGTCAGAACTGACCTAGGCCACTCCAAAGTCTTTGTTTTTTTAAGCTGTTCAGAGGTGGACTTGGTGGTTTGTTTTGGATCATTGTCCTGCTGCAGAACCCAAGTGCGCTTCAGCTTGAGTTCACAAAC